AGGATAAATGTATCAGAACTATGTGAGGTGTTGGAAGTGACCCAGAAACTATACTTGAAAGGAAATATCTTGTATGCGTCGGTATGAACTTAATACACCTCGTCTCCTCGGGTGACGTGTACCCACGACATGTTCAGTGATCAGAGAATCTTATGTCTGTGTTCAAATAGTGCAATGTGTGAGAGGAGGATCCCTAATTACAGTTTTAAGTGAAGTGGATATACCCACGCCATGAACATTCGGCTTTTGTTTTAAGGGAGCGTGCTGGGGACCCGCCTCGAGTGTGCCGCGTTGATATTATAACCCAATAAATTTACCCACGAATTAGCAAACCAGAACCTTACCTTAGTTTGTACTTTAGGGTTAAAATATGTGTTTATAATGCATGAGTGACAATATGCCGAAAAGTGTTCAGGTGAGAACTGTAAGAAATAAAAGTAAAAATTAAAGATTGGAAACTGTAGGCCTATGCGGTGACGAGCGGCGGGGCACTGCACTCAGTACCTTCCGTTCTACCGTCACCTCAGGTCAGTGTCCTATCGGGCAATATCCCACCCTATAATTAAGGCTTATATAGAAGTTATTACAGTTTAAAGCTTTGCCTGATGTATAAGTGTAATAGTAATGTGTTAGGGGGTGTGATAACCGCCCGTCAGGCATTATTTCTCAGTACCTTCCGTTCTACCGTCACCTCAGGTCCCATGCGGTCGGAGTGCCGTGCTGGGCGGCGGCCATTATCCCTATGAGCGTCCCACCAGGTGGTGACTACTCCCAGCTATGCCAATCCACTGTGAACCTGTGTATCCCCAGCACACCACTCCAAATGAGTAGTAACAAATAAGGAGACCGTGAGGAACTCTGCGGTCGTCACTTGGAGCGACCTACTGTATAATACCAGGCGTAAAAATAGTACTGGTATGTCTCTTGGTGAAGCCCTCGTCTTTACCCACCGAGGACGGAACGAACGAGGTGCCTGTTGTGTATACCTAAAAGTTACAAGGAGTCCCATATCTGCAGGGGTGAAGTGTAACAGGTGTGTTGAGATGGTGCTGCTATGTATGATGACCTAAGGTGCTATATTCCATACAGGTGAAGCAGTCTGATGTGTTAAGGGGTAGTGTAAGAAGGAGTGACCGAGGTAAGATGGTCACAGATTGTTATGCAATAAGGAGGTGGATGGCACGCCATTAATGTAAGACGTCTGGTTCCCATCTGGGTAACCAACATTTTCGTTGTTCTTCTGAGGAAGACCAATTCATTTGTGTTTTTTTTTACCAGTATGCTTTATAAGGAATAAATTAATTAAGACATGTTATGGTTTCACCCTTCTTTCCCCTTATCGATCTGGTCAATGGAAAACCTAACCCAATGCCTAGTCCACTCTGCACGCTACCTAACGAGTTACATACTGTCCAAAGGGGGTCTGGTGGCAGCGACCCTTAGAAGATAAGATTAGAGTTAAGTATTTACCCTTAGTATTAGTGACCCCCAGTCTGGCAGTATAAGACATTTACACGCTCGTGACTCTTCCTCAACGCATCTCCAAGCACTGTCTGTGTTGTCACCACTACCAAGGTTCGGTAGCCGCCTATGGGCAAGATGGTCCTTGAAGGATGTCTTTAATATGGTGAGATTAGAATCCGAGGACAGACCTACTCAGGGAACACCGTGTGAAGACACTGCACCGAATCTCCCCCAGGGCACTACTAGCGACCGAGCTTCAGCTGTTTGTGTCGTAAACAACCCCCGCGACCAGTGGACTCAGTCTTGTCCGGTCCATTGATCTTGGTTATATGTAATGAGCAGTATTGGTATCCATGATTTGGGATAATTAGCAGAAATATAGTTATCCCTGGTTGAGTAATGAACCCATGAATGTTGGTGTTACCAGTGGTAACGTTGTTATAGGGGTTGTGAGTCCACCAGCCATGTGTACTACCAACTGAGTTTTAGTTTAAGTGCCATGTTGTTCATTCCGAAATTACATGATGTGTTAAATAATATCTTAATTTTGGATATTGTCGAGTGTGTCATATAATCATCTGTATTGGCAATGAAATAAAATAATGAGCGAGTAATGTTATAACCAAGAAATAAAGATCTATTTTGCTATGGGTAAGGTAAGGCCTAAGTGGTCCAGTCTTGTCTAAGTGTACTTAATTAACATAGTATTCACTCCTTATGTTAATAAATATTGAATTAGTAAACTAAGAGTATCACCACTCTATTCCTTCTACCCACTGGTTCTCAGAAAATAACTATTGTAACTCACGTGCTTAGAAGTTCGCTAGCACACTACCTAACAGTCCAGTGAGATATGTTATACAGTATTACCCCGCTTTAGCGGTTTCACTTTCCGCGATTTCTCATTTACGCGGCGCCTCGCCAGAACCGAACTTTCACTTTCCGCGGTTCATCTACCCATATACGCGCAGAGTGTCTGGCTCGACGCTATTTTTAGATTCGCCCCTCCCGCCTGCTCCCGCCTGGGCAAGCCGCGCAGTAAGGTTGCGCAGTGCATGTCTCTGTTGCGTTATCAGTGACGTCATATGACGTATCGGACTGTGATTGGCCATGCATCCCTACCTCCCTCCGCTGCTAGCTGTAATTGGTTTAAAGTAATATGACGTGTCCACCCGCGGGAGGGAGGGTGGAAAGACGACACTTGACCTAACCGCGGCAGTTTCATCCCTCCAGGCCACACCGGGTATATGTGCATCCATTGTTCTGTGAAATGGCTTCCGCCGGACCACCGCCACCAGAGAGAAAACTTTCCTTACCTGGACCCAGCCGCCCTAAGCTAAAGAAGATACGACGTTCCCTAAGCTACGAAGTGAAATACGAGATAATTCAAGATTTGGAGAAAGGAACTCAAGCTGATCTCGCGCGCCAGCATGGAGTCAACGAATCTATGATTCGTACTATTAAGAAGGATGCAACCAAGATCAAAGAGCACATGAGAATCACAAAATCTGCAGGTGCCTCAATGATCAAGTATTGCCAGAACAAGGTGCTGCTAAAGGTGGAAAATTTGCTGGTGAGTTATTTGATTCGTCAGGCGCGACGCAACATGGCGGTGGACACGCGATCTGTTCAAGAGTACGCACGTGAACTGTACGCAGCAGTGTCACGTAAGATGGGAATTGCAGAACCCAAACCCATCAATGCTTCCTCTGGTTGGCTGCATAGGTTTAAGAGGAGGAACAATATCACCAACATCAACATTAGTGGTGAAGAAGCGAGTGCTGACCGTGTGGCGGCTAGAGATTTTCCTCCGTTCTTACGTGAGGTTATGGAGGAAGGGCAGTTCACTGACGACCAGGTGTTCAACATGGACGAATCCGGCCTTTTTTGGAAAAAGCTGCCTACCAAGACCTTTGTTGTCCAGTCTGCCAGCAAGGCTCGGGGTCGGAAGTTGCAGGAGGAACGCATCACCGTCCTCTTTACCACCAATGCCTCCGGTACCTGTAAACCAAAGTTATCGGTGATTCACACAGCCCGCAAGCCGCACACCTACAAGAACGTGGACATGAGCAAGATTAATGTCCACTGGATGACAGCACGCAAGGCGTGGATGTTCTCTGCTCTGTCACTCTACTGGTTTGATGACTGTTTCATTCCCGACGTGAAGAAATTCTGCGAGCAACAAAATGTTCTATTCAAGATTTTGTTGCTCCTTGACAACGCACTAGGACACTCGCCCCTACTTATGGATCGTCACCCCAACGTAAAAGTGGTCTTCCTTCCTCCCAACAGTACGTCATTAATCCAGCCCATGGACCAGGAGTTAATCTGCAATGTTAAAGCTGCGTACTCTGCAAAGAAGTTCAAGCTCCTGAACGACTCTACCAACACCAAGGATGAGTTGCGTAAGCTGGGTGACACCGATAGTGAGAGCAAAAGCGACCAGGACAAGGAACAACAGGTGGTGACTCAAGAAGTTCTCGTCAAACAGTTTTGGAAGAAATTTAACGTCAAACAAGCTGTAGACTTCTTGGTGAAGGCATGGGATCAGCTGTCTATAGCTACGATTCGTCACACATGGAGGCATGTGTTGCATGGCATACCAGGTGAGAGGCGGAGTCAACCTGTGACTGGTGAGGTTCAGTCTGTGACAGTGGCATTGGACCTTGCAAGAGAAGCTGCTCACAGTATTACAGCTGAAGGCTTCTCCGAGACCACCAACGAAGACATCCTGGAGGTGATCAGAGATCCTGAAATGACTGCCGACGAGATGTTGGAAGATGATCACGTCAGTGAAGAGGAAGGTGGTGCGTCAATCCCAGAAGAACACAAATTAACGCATAGTAATATTAAGGGTGCCATCGAGTGTGCAGAGAAATTAAAGCTCTTCCTTTCCAACGACCCTGACGATGACCGCTATGAAGTCTTCCATACCCGGCTGGTGCAGGCTATGGAGCCGTACATCAAGGTGTATCAAGACAACATCAACACTAGCCGTCAAAAAAGCATTACCGAGTTCTTCGCCCGCAACCCACCACAGCCAGCCAGAACCAGTGATAGTGACAGTGAAAGTGACTTTGAGGGATTTGTCAGGGAAGCCCTGACAACTATAACTGATAGTGATGGTGATGCACCTAGTAATGGTGATTCACCTGAGGGCCAGTAATCTGCCCTCTGCCTTGGAACCAGCCTCCATCCCCGTATGCCGACCCATCTCTTCTACTAACGTAAGTGTTACACCCAACCTTTAGTTTTCCTAACCTAACCTTTATTTTTCCTAACTTAACCTTTATTTTTCCTAACCAAACCTCTTCTATATTAAGTGTGTGTGCATACCATCATAAAGTTAAGATAATATTTTTACTACAACATAGTTGTGTGTCGTCAAAAAGTGGAGTTTGGGGGTCGGGCCAGTCTCTATTGGAATTAATCCCATATGTTCTGTTGTTCACTTTACGCGGTACCCTGTGGGTTCAATTGACCGCGTAAATCGGGGTACTACTGTATGTAATAATTTATAAATAAAAGTTTCCATCAACAAGTCAACAAAAAGTGCATTTTTTCTTTATGACAAGAACCACCCTCAGCAAATTATTACAACTTTTATATTCCATAACAAACACTGAAAGAAGACATACGGGTACTTGGATATACATAAAATACAGAAATTCATAAGAATATACTGTACTGTACTGCACAGACTATATCAAAAGTGAAATATTTAAGGTTTATCAGTATTATTCCCTGTATGTTTGGGGGCAGTCTCTAACCTGTGAGCAACTCCCCCACCACGAGCATCAGACCATGATATTAACTCGTCTTTATTTTTAGTAATACCATTAACACTGGTATATGGTAGATGGAGTAACTCAAGGCTATGGTTCATAGCAATTAATTTGTTACGGACGGAGCCAGGAAGACGATCAGCATTTCTCAAATCTGTGATAAAGAAAAAAACAAATTATCTTCCATGATCATTTCATCAACAAAGAGAACAATATTATAATAACTTAATCCCTAATTCATGAAAAACACTTTAAAATAGCTACAGAACTGAGTGTGAGATCTTTCAAAACCACACTTGACCAACACCGGTGTGGGTACAGATACATCGTGGAGCCAGTACATACCCAATACAGTACAGTATACAGTACTCTCGATTTACCGGAATCCGATATAACAAACTCTCGATTTAGCGGAAGTCACTTTTTTCATTACCTTTCGCTTGATTTAGTGAGCTAGTCTGCTAAATCAAGAGTAATTCCGTTAATACGCTCACACCTATGGAGACACCTCAGACACATGCTACGGTAAAACCTACGTCAGGGAGGTACTACTGCCTGGGAAGATATTGGAAGCATAATGTGTTGTCTAATGGTAGACCCTGCTGCCATATGGTATCACAAAAATTGTGACCAAGTCCCAGGTTGCTGAATTGACTTTCTACCTTATTTACACATAATTGCAGGGTCTCAATTGTTTCCCTTGCTTTGACAACACAACATACAAACAGTAAGTCCTCGCTTAACGTTGTGGATTCGTTCCTGAAAACCGCGACGTCAACTGAATCAATTTTTCCCATAAGATACAGTAATATCTCCATTAGCCGGAATCCCTCAAGCCCGAAACTCTCCGATAGCCGGAATTGAAATTTTCTCGGAAAATTGTTCCCAAAGCTGGAATCTTCTAACAATTGGTTCTCAGAAAATAAGCACTCGTCTACCACGCTACCTGACACTTTAATGATACCAGATATATTCTAAATAAAAGCCTGGGTTGTGGCAGTCTACCATGTAAGTATAATAGCTATACTAAGAGGTGTTGTTAAAGAATGATATGGTTTTCCCAGGTTAATCTATTGAACAGAATATAATTGAGCACAGTTGAGAATAGAAGTAAGGCAAATTATACAAAAACTAGGCACTAATAAATACTGAAATAATTTAGAGGAAAATATGATACAGTTGACAACCCCTTATCCGAAATTCCAAAACAGAAAACCTCTGAAAACCGAAAGTTTTTTTTTTTTTAAACAGGGATTAGCCCACCCGGGCAAAGGTCACTGACCCACATCGGGGCCTGGGGGGTGAAAGTGTAATAATAATTATTCATAGTAAATCAAATTTATAATACAAAATACACAAAAATAAAATAATAATGATAACAATAATAATAATAAAATAATAATAATAAAATTAATAATAACAATAATAATAATAATATTAATAATAAAATTAATAATAATAATAAAATAATAGCAATAATAATAACTAATACTGTAATAATAAAATAATAACAACAATAATAATAATAAGGAAAACAAGAATGAAAAAAAGATCAAAAGTGAGAAACACGACCTAGACCTGTGAATTTATTATCATTATTATTATTATTATTATTATAATTATTATTATATTTTAGCCCCCCAGGCCCCGGTGTGGGTCAGTGACCTGTGCCCGGGTGGGCTGATCCCTGTTAAAAAACCAAAACAACCCTAACCTAACCATTCTGAAATCCGAAATGCATCTGGCCCCAAGGATTTCGAATAAGGGATTGTCAACCTGTAAACATATACAGTTGAGTCTGGATTTACGCGGTTTAGGTTTACGCGTTTTGTTATTTCCGCGGTGCCTTGCCAGAATTGAAATGCTTGATTTAGCGGTAAAATTGGTCATTTACGTGGAGAGCATCTGGCGGTCCGGCCGCGCCATTTTTGGATTCAAACCTCCCGCCATCTCACCTGCCATGCTTGGGTAAGCGGCGCGAGTAGGTTGCGCAGTGTATGTCTCTGTTGCGTTATTGGCGACGTCATATGACGTATCGGACTGTGATTGGGCCACGCATCCTTACCTCCCACACATTCCCTCCGCCGCTAGCTGTGATTGGTCTAATGTAACATGACGTGCCCTGCCACCAGAGGGTAGAAGTCGCTGACCTAGCAGGGCCTGTCCCATTGTTCTCAGTCCGCGTATACAGTCCTCTCTTGTGCCCGCTATTCCCCTCACAACGCACAATGGCTTCCGCGGGACCCCCACCACCAGAGAAAAACATTGAATTACCTGGACCAAGCCATGATACTGTGAAGGAATTCATCGAATTGGGGGAGAAAATTAAGCTCATCTTTGACAACGACCTAAACAAGCATCGGTATGAAGTGTCTAATAACCATCTGACGAAAGTTATGGAGCCGTATATCCAGATCTATCTCGACAACATCAAATCTAGTCGTCAACGTAGTTTTGAGGACTTCCTCGCCCGCAACCCACCACAACCACAGCCAGCCCAAGTCAGTGATAGTGAGGATATGGACTTTGAGGGGTTTGTCTGGGAGGCCTTGCAAACCTCTGCGAGTAGTGAAAGTGATTCACCGGAGGGCAACTAAAAGCCCTCTGCCTCGGAACCAGCCACCATTCCCGTACGCCAACCCATCTCTTCTACTAACGTAAGTGTTAAACCTAACCTTGATTTTTCTAACCTAACCTAACCTAAGTGTTAAACCTTGATTTTTTTTCTACCCTAACCTAACCTTACGTAAGTGTCAAACCTTGATTTTTTCTAACCTAACCTAACGTAACGAAAGTGTTAAACCTTAATTTTCTTTTACCTGGTACAGAATATTATTCTCTTATTGATATTTCTCTTCTATATTATGTGTGTGTGTATACCATCATAAAGTTAAGATACTATTTTTACTACAACGTACGTATTGTGTCGGAAAATGTGGAGTTTGGGGGTCGGTCCAGTCTCTATTTCAATTAATCCCATATGTTCTGTTATTTCATTTACGCGTTTCTCGTTTTACGCAGTACTCCTTGGGTTCAATTGACCGCATAAATGAAGACCCAACTGCAATGATAATGTAAGAAATATATAAGATTTAGAAAAGAAAGATAAAGAATTTTGAAAGGAATAAATGAGCATACAGAAAAAAATAAAGAAACTAATTTAGAAATGAATTAACAAGTACATATGGAAAGAAAATAAGATAACTAAGGAAATTAAAGAAAGTGATATAAGTTAAGATAACAGAAGATAAATAAAAATTAAAAATAATTTAATAAAAGAAAAAACATCTAACACAAATTTATCAGTTGAGTTAATCATCAAATAGTGAAATAAAACAATTGACTTCTCCTACCCCCCCTTACAAGGTCAGGTCTCCCCTCAAAATAATTTAGCTTTTGTCTTTATTCAAGACATTTTCAGGTCATAAGACCCACTAAACCCCCACCCAACAACAAGTGACCTAACATTCCATCCCTGAAAATTCAGTTGCCTCTGAAGATGTCTTGAATAAAGTCAAAAGCTAAGGTGCTCCAGTGTATATACTTAGTTGACCAAGAGCTCAATTTAGCAGAAATTTTGATTTAACGAACAGGGGTGGCTCGAATTAGTCCGTTAAATCGAGAAAATACTGTACTTACCAACATTGTGTAACAGAGATGTAACCGACCGCCCAAATGGCTAACGAGCCGATCAGTGGCGAATAGGATAAAAGTAAAGTAAAATATTATATGAATAAAAATTATTATAAAGGGTTTATTCAGAATTTGGAGCAACAGGCCTAAAATGTTAGCACCACGGCGCACTAAGTCAAGGGTGCATGGGGTTAACAATAAAATCCCAACAAAAGTGTCATCCTGCACATCCCAGGTGATTGCCGAGTCTAAAAAGTGTTAAAAACACATATGTTATCTTTCAACCTTAAAGAAACAGCTGAAATGATGGGGCTAAACAAATTTCTTACTACAGTAATTCCAGTCAACAACATTGGGGGTCCTGGGAGCCTTGGATTTTTCGACCTGCATACTGTACTTGACTGGCTATATTATAATATATTCAACTTACCTTCTACAAACACTTGGTTGGTGCCGGGCTTCACAGTGAATCTGGGCTGCTCAATGGCTTGTGTCAGGTCATTCTCCCGAAACACCATCTGTCCCACTACTTGCACTGCTGCCCCAACATCTGGGCTTGCCAAAACTATTCTTGTTCCACACACCTGCAAAAAATATATTTGGAAAGCTATTTTTAAAATTCTTTGTTAAAATATCAATACTCTACACAGCATTAGGGTTGCATCGTATGCGAATCCATAGTACACAACCCCGCTTAAGGGCTGCCTCACTTATCACACAGGTTACGGGCAAGAAACTCATTGCAAATATCGAAATTGCGAATAGCGGAGCAATTTCTCCCATAAGAAATAATGTAAACAGGGGGGATACGGCCGTCAGATTTTAACACTTGTTTTACTCAATACATATAGAACATAAAATAAATAAAGAAACAAGGGCATAATATCAAATAAACATCAATAACAAACACTTTGAGTTTATTAGGCATATATGTTTGCAAGTACAGTATACTTGAATGTTTGAGTGTGTGAGTGTTTGAATGTTTATGTGAGTAAGTAAGTTTTAAATGTAGATTGTTAATTTATCTCTGATGTGCTGTGTTGCTTGCTTGCTGAAGTTGGCATTAGGGGAGATGGTGAAGGTCTACTGCGGGTGAGAGGAGGCTGGGGTCGTCAGTCACCTCACTGCCAGGGTCATCAGCCACCTCACTCTCATCATCACTGCCAGGGTCGTCAGCCACCTCACTCTCATTATCGCTGTCAATTTGCACTGAAAGCTGTTGTTCTCCACTGCCTTCTGTTAAATCATGCGTTGGGATAAAGGTGTTTTAAGGCGCAGGGTCTGGTCATCAATCCACGTGCTCAACATCCGCTCCATACTCTCCATCTCAGCATCAAGGAATCTCGTCACCTTCATAGCCATCAGTGGTGTTGCAGACCCGGCCATCTCCTTGATCTTGTCGACGCTTTTAACTATAGAATGCACCGTAGAGGGAGCCAAGCCATGCACGATCCTAATCACTGGTGTTCCTTCTCCGTGTTCATGCCTATTTACAATATCCAATTTCACGTCCAACGTAACTGCCACACGTGATCTCTTAGCAACATTGCTGGGCCTTTTAGTAGCTGGTCACTTAGGCATTGCGAGATCACACAAAACACACGCCAGCACATGTGAGACTGAGGCAAGTGGAAGCGTATGGCGGAGGAATACGTGCACACGATGTCCTACGCTACAGTTGAGGCGCGCGGTTCAAAATTTTTGTTCGTTAGAATTTAAGAATGAATTGGGTAACCATTGCGAATAGTGGAAATGGGTAACAATAAGTTGATTGCGAATAAACGGGGTTACGAAAGTGGTCCCTCGGTTAACGAACACAATTCGTTCCAGAATCGTTCGTTAACCGAATCCATTATTTCAATGGGATATTGGGTAATTGGTTCCAGATCACAGAAAAGTATATATATATATATATATATATATATATATATATACAGGTAGTTCTGCTATAACGCGATAATTGTGTTCTTGTAAAATATCGTGTTATAGAAAATCGCGTAATAGAAATAACAGGGCTTATGGAGAAAATAGGGTTAGGTGCAGATTACTCGAAATCGAAAAAATTTTAGTAGTTAGCCTAACACAAAGGATAGCACAGTCTAAATAAATGTTACATTCATATCTAATAATGAAATCATACAGTAAATTTAACACTTTACCTTGAAAAAATATGAATGTAACTTGATGGGGGAGAAGGGTGATTTTGAGGTTGATAACATCAAGCTTCTCTTCAAGTGTTATATCCTTTCTTTTACGATAATCACCGGGAATTCTATCATCAGAATGCTTTTTGGAGATATTCTTCTTTACCATATTCACAGTTAATACCACAAAATTGGAGAAATAGTAAGCAAAAATCGCGTTATAGCAAACAAGCGATCGCGTTATACAAATATTGTTCCGAATTCATAAATCGCGTTAGAGCAAATTCGCGTTATCAAAACACGCGTTATAGCAGAACTCACTGTATATATATATATATATATATATATATATATATATATATATATATATATATATATATATATATATATATATATATATATATATATATATATATATATATATATATATATATATATATATATATATATATATATATATATATATATATATATATATATATATATATATATATATATATATATATATCAATATATATATATATATATATATATATATATATATATATATATATATATATATATATATATATATATATATATATATATATATATATATATATATATATATATATGCAGTGGGGTATGCTATAACGAACGGATTCTACTACGAATTTTCCTATAACGAACGATTTTACCTATCAAATTGAGAATGCTATAACGAACGCAACTCCTACAACGAATGCGGATGAATACGGGACTATTTCGTCTGGCGCATGAATGTTGTTGTACCGCGGCTCACAGCAAGAGCGTCGGGCGCCATATTGGTTCATTGTGTGGTCAGTGCACCACTGAACTTGTTGAAATTTCGTCTTTTGATGTGGAAATTCGTGTTATTTTTATAACTATTTTGTTATACAAGTGTACAATTATAACACTGAATCGTCAAAAGCGAGTGAGAAAGCTAATAACCCTTAAAACTAAGAAAGAAATTATAAATAAACAGACAAAGTGCCTGTAAGACAGTCACCAAAGAGGGCTAGGAAGGATGACTCCTCTCCTTCCACCTCTTCTCCATAATTCTCTCTTCCCCCCCTCCTCTGCCTCCTGTCCTGCATGCTGAACAACACTAAGGTAAGGTAAGATAAAGTACCGTATTTTTTACAATTTCCACAGAAATTTTTCAGTGTTAAGTGGTTGTATTTGGGGGCCTGGGACGGATTAATCCTATAACGAACGAATGCTATAACGAACGAGGTTCTAGAACCAATTAGATTCGTTATAGCATACCCCACTGTATATATATATATATATATATATATATATACATATATATATATATATATATATATATATATATATATATATATATATATATATATATATATATATATATATATATATATATATATATATATATATATATATATATATATATATATATATACACTATTACTCTTAAATCACTACTGTAATGTGATACAAGTGATTGATTTTTATCTCATGTGCAAAATATATGACGTATATATTCAAATTATACGCTGTCTTGCAAGGATTCCAGCAATGCAAATTATATTCTCCTAACTTTAGTCCGAGATATTATATAAGATAAAAACTGTAAGCCTAAAAGCCTGGCTGGGAAGAGGGAGGGAGGGAGGGAGGGAGGGAGGGAGCAGGAGGTAAGGTGATATGTTTGACAGTTGGAGCCGAAGGTCTCGTGTGTTCATTTAACAGTCCTTAAGTGACTAAGCTTCTCTCATTTTAAAAGCCAGTGAAATGACCTGGGAAAATATAATTTACATTGCTGGGATTCTTGTAAAATACTGATTAATTTGAATATAAACAACCTATAAATTGCACTAGACATAACAATTTTAGTACCGTAATCATTTAGTACATGTACAGTACATGTTTGCACGTAGGTCATTTATTTTTTTTACGTTTCTTTTAGTATGGTGTGTGCATTTAAATGGATGAAAATAAATGAAGAAATTTATGTAAATCTACCCAAAAATACAGTTGAAAAACTTTACATTATAAAATGTACTACAGTACACTAATGTACTAAAATTTTTATCTCTTGTGCAAAATATATGACTTTCATATTCAAATTATTCACTGTCTTGCAAGGATTCCAGCAATGCAAATTATATTCTCCTAACTTTAGTCTGTGATATTATATAAGATAAAACTTAAAGCCTACTGAAAACCACCAAACCCTTGCTGGGAGGTGGAGGGGGGGGGGTGACAGTGACATGTTTGACAGTTAGTGCCAAAGGTCTAGTGAAGTATTTATTTGTTTATTTATGTCCTTTAGATTGAGTTTTTCTTTTTTGCTTATGAAATGTCATAGAAGTGATCAGGGAGAATATAACTTACATTGCTGGAATTCTTACAAGACAAAGATTAATTTGAATGTAAACATGAGATAGTTTGCACTAGACAAAAATTTGAGTACCCCTGTAATCATTTTGTACATTATTTTGATTACATGTACAGTACAGCTTTGCCCTTAGGACAGTGTGAGCATGTAAATGAGTTTCAATACATGAATAAAGTTACATATATCGAGCCAAAAATAATAGTTGAAATACTTTATGTAGACAGAGCTTGGATGGCTAAATTTTAGAATGACCAATAATTTTAATATAAAAAAATGCACACATATTAAAGAGCACAATTTTCTTGATATTTACTCCACTGGAAAAGAATGTAAACATAGAACAGGTTACTGAATTGGCAGACTAGCCCATCAGCTGATCAACTGATGCTCACAACAAAACGTGTTTGTCGTAAGGATTTCGTTAATCGAAGTTTTGTTCGTTAATCGAATTGAAGATCATTATGGGAGGTAATTCGTTAACCGAAATTTCGTTAATCGAAGTTTTGTTCGTTAACCGAATTGAAGATCATCATGGGAGGTAATTCGTTAACCGAAATTTCGTTAAACGAACTGTTCGTTTACCAAGGGACCACTGTACCGAAGCTATGAATAATAGGGTTTGCCTGTACAGTGGTCCCTTGGTTAACGAACGCCTCGGTTAACGAACTGCCTCCCATAAGATTCTTAAATTCGGTTAACGAACAAAAATTAGGTTAACGAATTTCTTACGAACCGACCTCAACATGTTTTCGCTTGCACTGACCGGTCAACCAGCTTTAGTATTAGTCCGCCAATACATTAATCGGTTCTAGGGATTAAATTCCTTACTATTTTAGTAGATATCAAGAAGTTTATACTATTCAATAATTTTAAAAGTTTAATATTCAAATTTTTAGTCATTTTAACAATTATTGAACATAATTGAAGGTAAAGAAACTAGTTTCTGGTGTGCCATCCAGCCTCTTAACACAGCAAACAGGCGTTAGTCTCTCTCTGTTTTCACTGGAGGTAACATCTTGCTTGAGACTCTCTTCAACTAAATGCTTTTTTTCTGTGTTTCCAAGCAAATTATTGGTCA